AGACTGTGTCTTAGGGTTGCTAGCTTGTTTAATTACTGCTGACGATACTCAAACGTTATTAAAAAGTGTCAAAGCCCCTGTATTTAGGTTTCAGGCTCAGTTGGGTGCAGAGGTACAGATGTCGACGAGTACGACGACACGGAAGCAAGCGACGTTTGTGAGAATGATTACGATGAGGATGAGGAAGGCGCTTTTAGGGGTTTTAGGGGAAACTCCCAGCCCCTTCAGGAAACCCTAAACCCTAAACCCTATACCCTAATTAAGCGAAGGAAAGCGCTTGAGCAAGCGGCCCAGGGCTTGCTGGGCTGCCTCAACCCTACACCCTCACGCCTGTCCTCAAGTTTGAGGGTTGATAGAGGGCCCTATAGAGGTTTGAAGGTGATTCGGGTTCGAGTTCGAACATCAATCCAGGGGTCCAGAACCCTCCAGGGCTCTATTTCAAGATTTGGTTGTGGAGTATCAGCACTGATGTTTGTACGTCTGTGGCAACGGTTTTCCGAGAGCTGCCAAAAGGTCCCTGACACAAAGACCCTTGAAGCGGGACCCCTGGTTAAAAGCGTTGCTGCAACGGTTTCTGCTACGAGCAAGCCTTGTCCAGGGCTGTGCATGGATTGTTGGCGGATTAGAGGCGGACAGGATCCTTGGATGGGAGGTTTGCTTGGAGGCCCAGGGGACTTAGTAGGTTATAAGTAGGGTTATTGTTAGGGTAATTCCATTTAGGGTACTTATAACTCTACTTATAACCCACTTACTAAGTCCCCTGGGCCTCCAAGTGGTGTCCAATATGGAAGCCTTAACAATAGGTAAACATCGGTAGACTGCTTCCTACCCTAAACCCTAAACCTTAAACCTTCCTTGATCCTCACAGCCCTCAGACAACCCTCGTTGAAACCCCTACAGCCCGCCTATAAAACCCTTCCAAAACCCTTGTCAAAAGGTGTCAGGACAATCCCGTAAACATCTACGTTGAATTTAAAGGTCTGATAACACCCTTATCAGACCTTGAAATGGGGGTTTCCGAAGATAGGGGACCCTAATATAGTACCCTAAATAGGTTGGATCCTTATCTTAAGGACCCCAAAATAAGGAACCCTAATTTTCGGAAAGTCCCAAATAGATCGCCTACATAAAATCCCTTTGCAGTGCTTTCAACCCCCCATGGACAATCCCAAGTTCTGCCAGAAATCCCGGCTTCCAAGACCAGGCGAGGAGGAGATGTCTGAAGATGACATGCACGAGCCGTGAGTTGCACAGGAGGGAGCTCGGAGACGCCATAGGGGGGGTGTATATAGGCTTAGGGTTTCCGAAGGCTGTTGCAGAAGGGCTGTGGGCTTGGGGTTTAGAAACCTCGCCAGGTGCATTGCAGGGTGGAAGGTATTTTTTGAGTTACTTTAACGGTTTTGTGGAAGTCGACAGGGGTCTACAGCTTTTGGCTGTGACAAATTTTGCGTGTTGCTTGAGCAGGCTCCTGCACCTACAACACCGCTGCCCCGAGTGCGATATCTTCGAGATGACACTCCTGCACCTACAGGTCCGACATCTTCGAGAGGACACTTCTGCGTCTACAACACCGCCGCCCCGAGTCGGAAAGCTTCGAGACGACGCTCCCAGCCCGCACCCACTCGAAGCAGCCTTGCTGAGGGACGAGCAGCCGACGGTGAACCAGCACCAAGTACTCGAGGACTACCTGGAGCAAGTTTTGGCTTCTGCTGGCTTGGTGTCCCAGGAACACTTTCCAGAAGTTGTGTCCATGATCAAGAACATGGACCAGCTGTTTCGAGACATGCGTGTCAAGATGCAGCATTCAAAGGAGGTATGGCATCGAAATTCTCGGAGGGTGTCTCCCGGCGACATCCTTGTCTGCATTGTGCAGCAGGAAGATCGTCGCCAGGTCCATGCTGGCTTGCAGGTGTCGGCAGCACCGCTGGCCCTTTCCTCTCCCGCGACCCCATGCTTTACAGGGAGCTGAAGTCACGGAACGGTTGAAAACTTTGTCGCAAGCCCTTGCATGAGGGCGGCCATGAGGTGTGTGGCCGTGGGGGTGGCCTTTCAAGATGTTCGGCTACGAAAAATTTGTACTTGGAAGTTGGACTCTTCGTTGCGACCACCATCGCCAGCCGTAGTATGAGCAGAGATTTGTTTGAGAAGAGATACCAAGTCAAGCAGCAGGAAATCACTGCTCAGTCTGAAGACCGAAAGAGAGCAAGGAAGACACTTTATGCGCGCAGCACAGCGATCCTACTTCAGCCAGATCGACGAAAGCAGCCGGGGTCATTTAGTTGGGGTCTGTAGTTTACTGTTGATCCTGCGCCCTAAACCCCAAGGGCGTCACGTACCTCAAAACCTTAAACTGGCAGGCGCAGTGCAAAACTCGAAACCCCAACGCTCCAGAGTCTGAGTCCGAGATTCCAAAGCTTCAAAGTCATCCCGATTCATGAACCTCATCCCAGTGCCGAAGGCACGCAGGGAGTTTCTCGAATTTAGGGGTGCCTCAGGGTTTGGGACTCAAGGCTTTAGAGCCACAGGCGTATGGAATAGGCTTGGATGCAAGAAGAGTCTCTAAGGCTTCAGGATCGAGGTGTCCAGGTTTTAGCCCATGGCCGCGAGACGTCCTTTCGGGATCAGGTGCCCCTGATTTTGAGATTTTGCCACTTATTGCCGAGCAATGCTTGGGGGCATGCTTCGCATGTACAGTCGAGGGCGCCCTCGGACAAAATATCAGTGAACTCTGCGCCTGGCCTGCGCATGCACAGTGTATATATACACACATACGTACGTACATGTACCTACGTACATGCATGCTTGACCGCATACATACTTCTATGCATACATGCATACATGCATGCCCACGTACACGCACATGCATGTATATATTTTTGTATATATATATACACATGTATGTGTATGTATGTCTGTCTGTGTGTGTGTATGTATGTATGTATGTATGTATGTATGTAGGTAGGTAGGTAGGTAGGTAGGTAGGTAGGTAGGTAGGTAGGTAGGTATGTATGTATGTATGTGTGTATCAGAAAACGGATTATGTATATATATATATATACACATAGTTGGAGGGCGTACGGTGTATAAAATATACGCATGCACACTTTGATGAATGCATTTGCATACGTAGATACGTGTTTGTTTGTGTGTGTGTGTGCGTGTGCGCGCGCTCGAGCATTTGGGCTTTGACATTGTTTTCAGACGTGTCGCGTACGGATTTTTACGGAGAGGAACCAGCGAACGGTGGGAAACATGTTGCAGGCTTTTGTACCGCTTTCTACTTGCTTGCTGTTTCATTGTACTCTTCGCTATGAAGCCGCATCTGTTCACAGCCAGCAGATGCTTGTGATGCTAAAGTAATTGTCCTTCTCCCCGCTTACATGCATTGTTATGCAGACACGGTGTCCACACCCGAAGCCGACACTTATTGGAGATGTGGGCGCGTTGATTCCGCTGTGCCCTGCGCACAACAAATTTCGGCTGAAAGTTGAAAGCGGTGGTGAGAGCAGTTTTTCGGAAAGGTCAGCCGATCGTACAGTACTGCTTCAAAATATCATAGTGCAATAATACTAGATGAAAGTACAGACTGGCTTTCTCTATCATACAGGGTTAGCATTGCAGTACATCTGACATGCTGCACATTACGTACCATGTGTGTGGCTTAGGGTCACAGAGCTTTCTGACTGAAGGTTGTGTTAAACGATTTCGGAATCGGGGAGCCCGTTAGCAACTCAAGTTTGTCGGTTTAAGCGTTTAGGGTTTGACTTTCCCTTGCTTCTTTGGGGGTGTTGGGCTCTCGTCCTGTTGCTTCGATTCTTAGCCCCTTTGCGCACGTTGCATTCGTTGCCGACGCCATGGTTCTGCTCGAAGCTTTTGGTTTGGCTTCCAAGGAGCTTGTTGGGAAGCTCAAGCATGTCTTCTGGAGTGGAGACAGGCCCAAGTCCCTTCATGAGGGTTCTGCTGAGCCTCTTATATTACTGCTCTGACAGAAAAGAGGCTCATGCATCAGGAGTATTGCCGCCTCCCGCAACCTTAATTAACTCCTAAATTCTTGGCGGAGCAGTTGTCTGGACTACCAAACCCGGCAAAAGCAGGCAGTAACCCTTAACCGAGCCGCGTGAACTCTCGAGCGATTTATATGAAAGCTGAACAGTGTCCGCCCAAACCGTACTTGAAGGATCATGGGACTTCGTGCGGGTGTTATTCGTGCTCTTGATAGGGGGTCGTCTTACTTTCAACCCGACATACAACCGCAAAATCGTAAGCCTTAGAGCCCGTATTTCAAACCGGTGGCCCTCTTGTGCATACTTCTTAAACAACTATTTCAAAAATCCTGGATTTCGGGCTTGAATATGTACCATAGCATCCCCTGACCGTGCCTATATGTGCCTCCAAACCCCACTCTAACTTTTGAACCAAGTTTAGGAGTTTAGGGTTTAGGGTTTACCTGTAACCGAAAAGACCTACCCTTTGAGGGTTCCTTATTATGGTTTCTATCTCTATATATATAGATAGATAGATAGATAGATAGATAGATATAGTTCCTGAAAAAAGTAGGTTTTTTCGGATACAGGTACGGTTCCTAAGTCTGAATGGATGAACTGGGATTGTGGCCATACTTATGGGCTGAGGGAACCTGATGAGCGGACAGTAGCTTATGATTCGGAAACCCACGTGGGGTTTAGGGTTTAGGCAGAAAGGGGTTTAGGGTTTAGGCAAGAAGGGGTTTAGGGTTTAGGGAAACACCTGCCAACTTCCCAAGCCCAGATGCAAAAGAAGGGAAGCACGTATAGCCGACATGCTGAGAGCCATGATGTTCCTTCACTCAAGACTCAAGACCTCAACGTCCAAACCACTGAGCACGATTTCTCAGACCCGAAAACCCCAAGTCCGCAAGGCCATACCCTGAAACCGTACTACTTACTACCCCCTGCAAGGAGCTCTTCGATTACAACCGGGAGAACTACAAGTTCGATCAGGAGCAGCGCTTGGAGAGGGACATGCAAAGGCACGGCACAGTGGACTGCACCGAATAGGAGGCCAAAGCCCTAGCGCTACATGGGGTTGTGTTTTGATGTGGAGTATAGGGTTCCAAAAGGAGGGGTCAGATGATCGTCGCCCGGCAACGCCGGTGCAAGAGGGGTCAGGGCAAGGAATCCAGAGTGAAACTCTACATATCTCGTCTTCACAGCCCCTCACGGCTCTGAATCATGTACTTGTAGGTTGAGCCCTAAGCGCTATTCTTTAAAGGGTCGGGGGACCTCAGGACTAGCTAGCTATTCTACAGCACTGAAAGGACCCTTCAAAGGGATCTTAATTGGGGTTATGATACTTGTAACTTTATGGAGTGCTCAACGCCAGCACACTCCTGACCCGAAGGCTCCAAATAGCAGAAATGTGCTACATGTAAGGGTCTTTGGGCCCGCACAGCCTCTGAAATAGCGTAAAGGTAAGGCTTTACTTATACATATACTATAAGTCTAGAGTCTAGAAGATACACCAGAGGACGATTGTAACTTTTTGAGGTCCCTGTATTTTCTTGCTCCGCAGGGATGAAACCCTAAAGCCACCGGTTTAAGGGTTAAATTCAGCTTTCAACCTTAAAAGCGATTTAGGGTCTTGGGTTTAGGGCCTGGGGTTTAGGGTTTAGGGCTTCAGTGCAGGGTGGAGATGCAAATTGAGCGCTTCGACCTCTTTCGAGAAGACATCGAGGATTTGGTCAAGCTCACAGTGGACAAGATGGACACCTGACGGGTTAGGGGTTTGGGGTTTAGGGGTTGGGGGTTAGGGTTTAGGGTTTAGGGTTTAGGATTTTTGGATTCGGCCTTTTCAAGTTCAAGCCTCTCTTCTCGGGCGGTTTTTCTTAGTGTTAGCGTCAATCTTGTGTTTGTGTGGGCACCAAGGGGGGTCTGTGGCATAACAAAGCTGTAGGCTGTGGGTTCAGGTCCGGCCCTTGTCGCTTCATTGTGAAGCCATACCTTTGGCAGAGCTCACGGTCACAAGCCAGTAGCTCAGTAAATAAGCTTCTAGGCTTCAGAGTTTGAAACACTTCCTGCGGCTTATGCTCACCCCAAATAAAACCTACTGTTTCGGGAGTTCTGTAAGAAATCATAATCAGGGACCCTCACAAGGTTGGGTTTACAGAGTCCAGGTCGCATCGCCAAGGTCAACCTCCTCGGACTTGAAAGCTTTCTTGAGTTTGGCAAGAACCCAAAACTACCCAAGATTCTAAACTCTAAACCCTGAAACCCTACACCCCTAAACCCTAAACTCTAGCCCTGCGTGTAGCCGGAAAGACCTACTGTTTTCAGGAACTATATATAGAAACCATAATAACACCTAAAAAAGGTCGGTCTTTTCAGTTACAGCAGCAAAAAATCCAAAAATGCACCTGTTGGAACATGTTCAAGAGAATTCGGCGACCAGCCTACTAAGGACATGTATCACATCGTCGGCGCTTTGTTTCTCAGTTTCACCGCCCTCGTCTACTGCGAGGGCATCATCAACGGCCCGCAGCCGCCTTTCTTTTTGGGACAGTGGCTTGCCTTGGATGGCTGGTTTAGGGTTTACAGCTGACTTAGTTCCCCTATACCCAACCTTTAAACTTTTTCTGGGTTCTTATAATTTAGTAGTAATCTGAAAGTTTAACCTCTTGTTTCCCTAGCTTATCGGGGAAGTAAGCCGAGGGTTCAGGGTTTCTTTTTGGGGCCTTCCTGAGGTAGGCAGAACCCAGGCGCAAAAAAGAAAAAGGATCGTATTATATTATAAAAATATATTAAGGAGCCATCACGGGGCTTTGGGTTTTAGAGGGTTTGGGAGTCGAGGTTTAAGGCTTCACCTTCTTGGCAGAAAGGTTTTCGTTTTCGGGGTAGGGTTTAGGGTTAGGACAGTTGTTGTCGGTTAGGAGGCCAACTGTTCCGGTTTGGAGCTTCCATGTGACTTTGCGAGGTACTTCCTGACCGTTGCCGCTTCCTTTGTCTACCTCCTCCTGGCTGTTTGGCTGAGCATGTGCCTTGGTTTGGGTGTTGACTCTACTTGGAGGCTCATGGGTAGTCATAAGTATGGTTATAAGTCCCCGAATATGGGTTATAACTATAGTTACCTTACTTATACCCCCACCTATAACTACCCATGAACCTCCAAGTATTGGAATCCCGATCCCGTCCAGAACCCGTGAGGAACCTAACGCTACCCTAAACCCTAAACCGGCTTGTAGATCTCTTGTCGAAAGCTTCAAGAGCTTCTCCTTCAAGCTTCAAGGAACCCTAGTCTAGCTTTTTAAGATCCAGAAAATAGAAGTCAAAACCCTATGAACCATAGAACCCCTTATTGCGACCCACTCTGAATTTGTCAGGACCATGTTGGGTAAATTGGAGGGCTTACTATTCTTGGCCTTTGTTTTTTGGGCCTGTGGGACTGCATTGGGTGGGGGCTGCGGGGGAGCTCGCGAGGCTGCGGGGAGCTCACGAGGCTTGCTTTAGGGGTTTAGGGTTTAGGGGTTTAGGGGTTGAGGGGTTAAGGGAGAGAGGGTTTAGGGGTTTAGGGTTTTGGGTTTAGTTGTGGGGGCGGCGCTATTGACATGACTTAGATTAGACTCAGGACTTGATGCGACCGGTCATACAAACATTGTATTCTTCTATCTTATATTGATATTGGCTCACTATGATATGTATATTGAGGTAAAACAAACTCTTACATCAAAAGTAAATTGAAGTTTTGGCAATACTGCAAAATGTGTTACAAGTCAGTGTAACGTTATATGACAAAGACTCGTATTGCTATATGATTATATGAATACTATATCGAGAATATGCAGAACTTGGCTAAAATGTTAGTGGGCAGCTACTTTTACTTATGTTTATTGTTTTACATCAAGACTGTTAATATTTGTTTCTATTCTGCTATGGTACAGAAAAGTATATTAAACAATAAAGCCCTACCGCATATTATATACACCATATCATGTTACACTCTATTCTGTTTGGTAATACAATGTTATAATAGATTATTATAACATGGCAATGCATATAATGTGTATATATATATATACATACACATACTTACATACACAAATATGTACCAAAAAGGCTATAAGATGATTAGATCATGTTGTATGGCGTTACAATGTTGTTGAAATGTTTCTTTTAGAGTATGTTCGGAGAAAACTGTTTCATATCATAACACTGAGCCATAATATGTATTATAGTATCTCTGGTTTCATCATCTTATACTAGATTGCCTTTAAACTATCTGGTACTTTCTCCCTCATAGTATAACACCGTATAATACTGAAGAATCATTCAAAAATGCATACTGTGCGTGTACAACACCATACAATACCAAATAAGCTTCAGAATATAACAGAACAGAACCCAATATCATGTAGTGTTAGTTCATGTAGTAAACTGTAATCTACTAAGGCATGCTATCTCACAGGGTATGCGTTTCAATATACCATGCCAAAACATGACAGATCGGAAAAACGATATAGCATGATATGATATAACCAATATATCGCATAACATATTATAATCGTTACACGATGACCCGGCATTGCCAAAAACTTCGAAATTGTACATCCTAACCTGTGACCCGACACTGAGAAGACCTGCATAAGATGGGTTTAGGAAGCTGGACTTTTCTTTGCGTGGTCCATCATTGGTCTGTTTGCTGGTGTGGCACACAGCTGGCACAAATGTCGTGAAACTTCCAGCCCAGTCCCTCCTGTAATACGTAGGTTCAGCAGCACGGATGTTTGTAGATGCCGCTCTATGTCATGTAGGGTTCATGGTTAAACACAACACGTACATCCCGAGCCCAATCCCGGATAGTTCGTCCTCGGGCTGTGACGTGCAGTCCGTCTGCCATGAGGGGGCAGACAAAAAAAACCAAAGGCCAAAAAAATCTCCACCCGTAATTTTGGGCAGCCCGAACTAACCATAAACACCACAACCAAAAACGCTGTGTAATGTTGGCTAGCACGACATAAGCAAGGTACGCGTCGATCGCCTCCCACAGCTTCGGGGTGCGTCTGAGGCACCTGTGGGAGGGCAGTTCTGGTTCCTGTGGTTGATGATATAAACCCTGCATTTCCCATAATAAGGGATTTACCATACTTCCCATAGTTTAGGGTCCTTAAAGTAGTGCAGGATTTATATGATCAACAGTAGGGGTTGGGGTTTAAGGTCTAATTAGTGGTTTATGGCTGAGGGGTTTAGGACTTGCAGGGGTTAGGGTTGAGGTTTAGAGCGCATGTTTAGGGTTTAATTAGGCGTAGAGTTTGGGTCTAACGTTTTAGGGCTTTGGTGCACAGGCTTTAGGATTTCCATTGCACTGTTAGAGACCTGTTTCCTCAACGCCATAATCGGCGAAGCCATTCTAAGCCCTGAGCCAAGAGGCGTGGATACCTACTCATTTTATAGTTCCAGTCTTTTAAAGCATACGGTAAAATCTCCCGAAATAGTACTCGAATGGCTGAGGCCCCTGGATTAGCTCCAAATCGCTACTGATTTTGAACCCCAGTTGATTTTGCGATCATTCCGTAAACTATAAGAGAGGGGGTATCAAGCTGGGTATACCCCCTAGCAAGCCCCAGTTCGCTTTTCTGCTCCCAAATGGATCCCCCTAAACCGAATTCCTAAACCCCTACTTGGAGGTTCATGGATAGTTATCAGTGGGGTTATAAGTAAGGGAGCTATAGCTATAACCCATATAAAAAGGGACTAAAAACCCATACTTATCACCACCCATGAACCTCCAAGGAAGTCCTAAAGGATCTTCAAAAAGTAGGTCTCCGAAGCTCCTCCAGCGGAATCTTTGCAGGACTCGCTATGTGCGGCTTCCCATACCGAACCTCTCGCAGATCCTCGGCTTGTGTAGGGGTCAGGTTATAGGCCCTTGGTCTAAGACATTTTAGTTACCGTTATAGGAGCCTTATAGAAGATCTATATACCTTATAGAAGCCTTATGCCTTATATTCCCTAAACTCCCCACCTGTAGTTTCTTTTGATTTGGTAGCTTTAGCCTTTAGTTTTAAGGGTTGAGGCCCCTACACCCTAAGCCCTCAATTCAGTTTTTCTAGGGTCTGTGGGATTTCGGGTTTAGGATCTGTTTCAGGTTTAGGTTTTTAGGTGCGGCTGGCGACGTCACAGGTAGCTGAGTTTCCTAGGCCACTTCTTTCGGCTTAGACTTCTGAAGCAAGTTTGGAGATTTCAAAGGGGTACAAGAAGCAAATGCCTGAGTCCGGTTGCAAAAACTCCAGAACCGCAGCCCGAAACCGTAGTAAAGAAGAGAGCGGTTTAGGGTTTAGGGTTTAGGGTTTAGAGACCCGATAAGCTTTCATTCAGGCAAACAAAAGCCCAGCAGAATATGATCAAAAGCTTCTGAATCTTTGTACCCTAGCCCTAAAACCCTGGACCCTATACTCTAAAACCCTGAACCCCAAGCCCTAAAACCCAATTTGTACAAAGTTGACAAAGCTAACCCTAAACCCTAAACCCTAAACCGTCGTATGAACCTCTGTAAAGCTAACCCTAAACCCTAAACCCTGAACCGTCGTATGCACCGTTGAACAAAGTTGACAAAGCTAACCCTAAGCCCTAAACCCTGAACCGTTGTATGAACCTTTGTACAAAGTTGACAAAGCTAACCCTAAGCCCTAAACCCTGAACCGTTGCATGAACCGTTGTACCAAAGTTGACAAAGCTAACCCTAAGCCCTAAACCCTGAACCGTTGTATGAACTGTTGTACCAAAGTTGACAAAGCTAACCCTAAACCCTAAACCCTGAACCCTTGTATGAACCGTTGTACCAAAGTTGACAA